AAAGTCGAAAAAACATTGTTTTTGGTCGTAACCAGCGAAGGGGTGGCGGTGTGTACGGCCAACAGCTAGGGTTTTCGAAGAGTTTGCGGCCGGAAACGATTTGCGTCCTAAGGGTTTACAGTCCAAGGTCTCACGAGTTTACGGTCCGAAGAGACGTGTTCGGTCCGGAGGGTTTACGCCTCAATGTTTTACGGCCTTCAAAATTTACGGCTTGCTCGTTTGTGGTCCTTGGTGTTCACGGCTAAGCCTCGTCCTCGCATCGCAACCTCAACCAACAGGAGTCTTCAATCAAAGGGTCTAAAGTTCGCAACATATTATTAAGAAAATGGGATTTTGGGGGTGTTGGGGATCGAACCCGGTACTTTGAGTCTACAAACACACGCCATACCAGCTGAACTACATTGCAAGATGTTTAATACTTCTTTTTTCTTAATCATATAGTCTTCGCAAAGCAGCAACTTGTTTATTTAATAAAAAGGAAGGGAAACGATTTTGCAGTTGCTAGGGATCGAACCCTGGTCCCATGCTTCATCATTCAAACGCTTCTTACCAATTGGGCAAGGCTACATCTTGCTTCATTCCTTCGAAATTTAATTCAAAAGGAGTCCTTTCTCAGTTCCAAGTTTCGCAACATTATCACTTTTAACCCAAAAATCAATTTCTTTTAATTTTAAATTCCATTTTCAACCCAAAAATTTTTAGTTTTTAGTTTTGACTTTTTACTTAAAATTTTGACTATGACTTTCAAGTTTGACCTTTAACTTTAAACTTTGACTTTCTTGTTTACCTTCAAATTTTCAAATTTAGCTTTTCGGTTTAACTTTTTAAGTTTGACTTTTTTTAAATTTGACTTTTGAGGTTGACTTTTGAGTTTTTAGTCAAAGGGAATATTTTTTATAAAAATGAGTTCTTTATCCATTCCAGTAAATGAAGTTTTTTGTACTCCATCTTGTGAAGCTACGATTAAATTTCTTCGCGAACAAATTGATTTGTTAAAAAGGGAAAATGAGGACCTAAAATATGAAGGATATCAACTCAGGAATGGACAGAAACCTCTAAAAGCACAATTAGAAGCGAAAAAAAGATTTTAGCAAACTTCAGGAAGAGTATAGCAATAAATATGCAAACTATAGATTTGTGATAGAACAACTTGCTGAGTTAACTGTTGAACTTGACACATTGAAAAATAAGTTTCAAAATGCAGATTTTAATTTCAGAAAATTTGATGTGTCGAGTAAAGTAATTGCATCAATGATGAAAAATAGTTTGAGATTTAAAAATAACCAGCAAAAGGGTTTAGGCTATGATAAAGTACCTCATCCTTTTAATCACACCTATCAGTATAACCCTTTGACAAATGAGGAAATAGATAGAGAGGCATATCTCAAATATGGAAAACCTATTGTATTTGTGTCGGGATGTGGTCCTCAGTTTGCAAGTACTAGTGTTTCTACTTCTTATGTAGATCAACCACTAAGTCATTGCAAGCAAGCAGCAGAACAGAGTGTGTCTGATAATAAAATTGTGTCAAAGTTTGATGACTTCAATTTTTTCGATAATATCTTTGACAATTTTTTCGTGGTTGTGCCAGAAAGTGTTGAGCTAAATGATTATAATGCTTCTACTTCTTGTGCACGTAAAGTAATGGAAGATGAGAACAAGGAGAAATCTATTGAAAAAACCAATGTCTCCTTGAACTCTAAATTTGTTGCTTCGAACTCAATTGCTTCTGATCAACGTGCTGTTGAGAAATATAGGCCACCAAAACAATCGAAACAAAGTGCTTGATGTAACTATGCATGTGGGAACAACCAGAAACGTGGCAATGGTATGCCACCAGGGGTAGGAAGAAACAACTTCCCAGTGAAGAAAAAGTCTTTCTTTCATTGTGGAACAACCAGACACATTCCCAGAAATTGTCCAAATCGCGCATATGTTCCCTAGTATGCACAAGGGTGGCAGAACGTACCAAAAGGGGTATTTTCCAAAAGAAACCCCTCAATGTCACGTTCAGACAATGGCGACTGGAATGCCAAGAAGGGAAAGAGTTCAGCTCCTAAGGCCAAGAAATCAACTCCCAAGGGGAAGAAGGGAATGCCGACCCAGAAGCCAATTCCAAGAAATGCTCCAACGAAACCAAAATCGGCTAGGTTAAAATCATCTCGACAGCAGACCTCAAGTTCAAAATCAAGTGCCAATGCACCCATCCGTTCGAAAAAGAAATGGGTTAAACCTAACTTCAAATGGGCTCCAAAGGTTCAATCTCCCAAATCTTCTAATGATTCTAATATTTCTACATCTTCTATTTGTGATAAGCAGGATATGTCATGGGAGAGAGTTCCTTGAGTTGATGACAAAGGTCAACACAAAATCTTCTTAGCTCCGGTAGCTAGAATGGAAGCAATCGGAATCTTCTTAGCATATGCTTCTCACAAAAACATCAAAGTACACCAAATAGACGTTAAGAGTGCTTTTATCAATGGGGAATTAAAAGAAGAGGTTTATCTTCATCAACCTCCTAGATTTGAAAGTATCAAGTTCCCTGATCACTGCTACAAGCTTCAGAAAGCAGTCTACGGTCTGAAGCAAGCCCCTAGAGCTTGGTATGAAACTCTTTCTGAATTCTTAGTCTCTTCAGGCTACAAAAGAGGAGTGATTGATCCCACACTATTTAGAAAAGCAAATGGGTCTCACCTTATGCTTGTACAAATATATGTGAATGATATCATCTTCGGATCATCTGATCAAGGAATGGTGGATGAATTTGCTAAGCTCATGACAAACAAGTTTCAAATGAGCATGAATAGAGAGATTAACTTCTTTCTAGGTCTTCAAGTCAAACAAATTCAGCAAGGGATATTCATTCATCAAGAGAAATACACAACTAAACTTCTGAAGAAATATTGTATGGACAACTGCTCTTCTGCTAAGATCCTTATGGCCTTCGGATATAAGATCTCTGCTGATCCCTCTGGTGAATCTGTGGATCACAAGACTTATAGAGGTATTATTGGCTTGCTAATGTATCTTACCGCAAGCAGATCTGACATTGTCTTTGCCACCGGTGTGTGTGTAAGGTATCAGGCTGACCCAAAAGTGTCACACATGACCGCAGCCAAACAAATTCTTCGGTACCTAAAAGGAAGTAAATCTCTTGGTCTATGGTACCCCTCAGGCAATGACTTTAGTCTTCAAGCATTTACTGATACGGATCATGTCGGATGCACACTTGATCGAAAAAGTACATCTGGTGGATGTCAATTTTCAGGAGGAAGACTTGTCAGCTGGTCCTCAAGAAAACAAAGTTGTGTTTCTTTATCTACCGCAGAAGCAGAATACGTGGTCGCAGCCAGTTGCTATTCCCAAGTCCTTTGGATGAAGACGCAATTGTTAGACTACGGATACAGGATGTTGCGGATACCAATTTACTGTGACTCTGAAAGTGCCATAGCAATCTCTCATAATCCTATTCAGCACTCCAAGACTAAACATATTGAGCTACGGTATCATTTCATCAAAGACCATATTCTGAAAGGTAATATTGAACTCACCTTTGTTCCTACTCATGAAGAGATTGCTGATGTTTTTACAAAAGCACTTAACTCTTCAAAACTCAATGTGTTCCTAAAAATGTTGGGAATGATGAATCCGGATCCTAAGTTCTTCTTGAATTAACAAGCACCACAGACCTTCCTCGTCCCCATTGTGGTCCTTACTGAAAGTTATTTATAACAGATGGTTTTGGAACATCCCCTGTTCTACAGTCGATGTACCTCAACCATATATTATATCTATCTTTCATGGGTCCTTCTTTTTTGTGTACTAACTTTTGTACAAGTGTTTCTCTCAGTTTCTCACTGAAGTCTTTACTTTGGTCATCCGCGATGACATTTCCAACAGCAATGAAGTTTTCATCCGCAATCATCGTGATAATTTCTCAACTGTTTTATCAACCTGTGAATCTTTGTGTGCTATTTAATGGTCCTTCATTAAATAAAATAAAACATTCACCTTAGAAACTATCACCTTCTCTTTATGAATAATCCTTTTATCAGACCTATTTTAGGGATCATGACAAAAAGAACGCTTTTCCAATAAACTCATCCTTAATTTGTCCTTTCCTCTCCCTAACACGTCCCATCCATTATCACTTCCTCTCCCATCACCCCCATGATTACCTGACGTATTGACATGTGTCTGACTTTACATTAAACACAAACCCCTTTTGTAAATCTCCCAAAATCTTTTACAACCCGTTTAAATTATGTGTGGCTGAGATTTAATCCAAAATTCATAGATTCCCCCCAAAACCCCAATAGACGTTTTACCCTATTCTTACCATTTACCTAGGGTTCAACTTTTTTTTACCCCCATTTATAAACCCATCTCCTCTCCTAAATTCACTTTACGCTTTCTGAATATCGATCATTCCCTCTCAAAACCATCAAGAACTATGTGTTCTACTTCTTCTTCAAACACGCTTAAACTTCAACAATGTTGAAATCAAGAGTATCAAAGAAGCAATCCAAGGCTTCTAGTTCGGTGAATCCAACAGGTTCAGACTCTCTTACAATTGCATCAAGCAATTTCAGAGTAGTGTTTGAAGATCATCCTTCATACAATGCTTCCATCAAGCTCATGATCAAGTTTCTCAAAAACCACCCTCTGTTTCGTCCATTTGATGCACTTATAGACGTTGTTCCAGTTTCTACTCTCTTCAAGAGTGCCTTTTCTGTTTATCGCCACTGGAAAACCCCCAAGAAGTTCATCTCAATCTCATTAACGATTCTTTGGTCATCTTGTCCAAAGATAAGTTTCTCTCAGCCGTTAACCTTC